GCCTAAGTTCCTTTCATGGTGTGAAAAATATGGAGTTCAACATAGTAGATATAGTTGCACATGATTTGTGATTCTCATGGCATTTAGAAAGATGAAAGCAACTTAGGACTGCCTTCATTTTATTTTTTGTTTTTCTAATTTGTACTAAATTAAGTGAATTTATATTAAATGCATTGTTAGTGTAAAATTATTTTACATTACTAGCTTATGACGTGTTAGATACACCATTTGATATCTTATATATTATGAAATTCATTAAATGATATGATACCATAATATTTAATTTTATTACTAATTTGATGCTGACGTGAATTTTTGATGGCATTGTAATACCGTTGGAAAATACTGTATTCTACTAAAAACGGCAAATAGAACAATTTATATGGCCTTTGTCCAAGTAGGTTGCTCTAAGGGATATAACAGTAATTATTGGTGATTCACAGTGAAGAAATTGAATTTTCCTGCCATGTTATGTGTACATAATTTTTTTTTTTTTAAAAAAAATCCTCCATATAACACCAATTAATACTTTTTTAGTGAAATAAAATAAAACTTATGTCTCATCCATCAATCTAATGCCAAGATTAGTTAATTAAAAATTATGCAAATAAGAGTTAAAAATAGAGATGTAAGTTACTCTAGTTAGTTCAACTCATACATATTAGATCATATTAATTTGTAAGGCTTAAATTTGGTTAATTCCTGGAAATTTAAGATATAATTTGAGTTTAAAATAGAATAAATTCTCATATAATTAAGTTTAACAATTTTGCGTTAACTGTACGGATGCAATAGAAAAAGATCTTATTGAGTATCTATATATATATATAAAGGAGAGTTCAATGTTGAAAACTTTGCTGATGTGTAACTCCCTGCTTAGTTCTGAAAATTGTGTTCACATTACATGGCATATAAGATTTTTCCTTCTTTGGTAAATTGGAAAAAGAATTTCTTTTAAAAATTAATTTTTTTAAATCGAAAAATAAATGACCATTTGCGGTGGCAGACAAGGCATTGAATGTCCCACTGGCCATCACATTGAAATTGGTCAGCTGATTTAATTGCTTTTTACATTAGAATTTTGAAATGGAATGACTCAGCTGTTTTAATTGTTCATCTGATCTAAAAATTTCAAATTTTGAAATGTAATGACTCAGCTGTTTTAATTGCTTTTTACATTGAAATTGCTCGTCTGATCTAAAATTCAAATTTTGAAATGGTTTCAAATTTTGAATTTGAAATATGGATGGTGGGAAAAGATTTGGAGAGTTTTGAGTGGAATTCATTTTGTATAAATAGAGAAGTTGTGTTTCTTATTTTTTTTTAACTTGCCTACGATTTCTTTCTTCATTTCTGTTTGTAGGGGTTGTTGTGTTAGTATTATTTTTTGTTTTCTTTGACTTTCTCCGATTCGTTTCATATTTTAATGGAAGGTCCTTCTTCTGCAAACGTGCCAGGATTGAGGAAAGTGTTTGTTGATCTTTGCAATGCTATCTTCTTATAAACAAGACGTAAATAATCTTTACGATTCGTTTTTTTTTTATACTAATTATCTTTTTTTTTTCATTTTGTAGGGCGGAAGTTTTCATCGTATTTCATTCTGTGTGGTTCTTGCCTCCGTTTTTTTCCTTCGTTCGTATGTGTAGCGGATGTTGTATGATTATTATTTTTGTTTACCTTATAAACAAGTTGCTATGAATTTGTGTTCTGTTTTTTGTATACTAATTCTCTTTTTTTCATTTTGTAGGGCGGAAGGTTTCGTCGTATTTCATGTTGTGTGGTTCTTGCCTACATTTTTTTTCTTCGTTCATATGTGTAGCTAATGTTATATTATTATTATTTTTGTTTACTTTATAAACAAGTTGCTATGAATTAGTTTTCATTTTTTGTATACTAATTCTCTTTTTTTCGTTTTTTAGGGCAAAAGGTTTCGTTGTATTTCATGCTATATGGTTCTTGCCTACATTTTTTTTTCTTCGTTCATATGTGTAACTAATGTTATATTATTATTATTTTTGTTTACTTTACAAGGAAGTTGCTATGAATTAGTTTTCATTTTTTGTATACTAATTCCTTTTTTTTTCGTTTTCCAGGGCTGAAGGTTTCATACTACTGTGATTAGTTATTTACGTAGTAAACGCCCTCAATGCTGCGTAGTGCTTTCCTACGTTTTTGCTACCCGATACAAAAATTGAATGGTAATCAATGGAATAAAATGTCAACGGGTGAAGAGTTTAAAATTTATCTGCATCGAGGGTCCTTTAAACAAAAATAATAAAATTTGTTAGAGGTGAAAAATTGGGCTCGGCCTGGAGGGCCGGCCCGCTAATATATTTTTATAATTCAATTGAATTTTGATTTTTCTTCTTTTATAATTAAATTACTAAATCTGATTTCAATTTTTGTAAATACAAATTTTTGAAATTCCAAAGACTAACAACACTAATCCTTGCAAAAAAAATTATTTATATAAAATGCTGACAGTTAGAGGTGAAAAACTGGGCTCAGCCCGGAGGGCCGGCCCGCTAATATATTTTTATAATTCAACTGAAATTTTATCCTTCTTCTTTTATAATTAAATTACTAAATCTGATTTCAATTTTTGTAAATACAAATTTGTCAAATTTCAAAGACTAACGACACTAATCCTTGCAAAAAAAAAAATATTTTATAAAATGCTGACAGTTAGAGGTAGAAAACTGGGCTCGGCCCGGAGGGCTGGCCCGCTAATATATTTTTGTAATTCAACTAAAATTTTATCCTTCTTCTTTTATAACTAAATTACTAAATCTGATTTCAATTTTTGTAAATATAAATTTGTGAAATTTCAAAGACTAACGACACAAATTTTTGCAAAAAAATAATTATTTTTTATTTTTTTATAAATCTGATTGTAGTAAATGAAAATTCATCTCTGAGATAAAATAGAAAAACCTAGACACAACTATAAAAATCTTTTTTTGTGGATAACTATAAAAACCTTTTACATGCTGATAGTTAGAGGTGGAAAACTGGACTCGGCTCGGAGGGCCGACCCACAAACACATTTTTATAATTAAATTAATATTGCATTCTTCTTCTTTTATAATTAAATTCCTAAATCTGATTTTTATTTTTGTAAATACAAATTTGTAAAATTTCAAATACTAACGACACAAATCCTTGCAAATAATAATTAATTATTATTATTTTTAAATGTGATTGCAATAAATGAAAGTCTATATCAAAGATTAGTGTAATTGCTTTTATTTTGTTCATATGCATTTGTTGCAATGTAAGCAAAAAATATGACTTATATATGTTTATTTGATTAAGTTGCATTCAAATCCCGTTCAGACAACATTTTTTTGGTCCTTAAAAAAATTTAATCCAATCTTTTTTTTTTTTTTTGCTGATACTATGACTTTTGAGTGTTAACATATTAATGTTACTTATTTAATGAGTTTTTATCTTCTGTATCGTAGGCATAAGGAACGAAAATCACACAAGAAATGACATATTTAGTAAATGTGGAACTCATCCCTCCAATGATTGCTAAGAAATGACACTGAATGAATAGCGTTTTCATATTATAGGTAAAAGCTGATATTTTAAATCCATATTTGCTAGGTGTTATTGTTACATTGATTTTGTTGATGAATGTTATAGTTAGCAATAATTTGTACGCATTTTTTTTATATCCCTTTCTCATGTTAACATGGTGTATTATAACGTATTATGGTGTATTATGATGTAGTTGTATGCAAAATTAATTATCCCTCTGAATAACAGATTTTTGTTTGTGGTTGATATTTGCAAAACTCTGTGTCAATGCGATAATTTTTTTCACCTGAAATATAGAACAAAATAACAACATAGTTTTTTGTAAATATAAGATTTGCAGTGCAATTAACCAACCACGACGGACGACAAAATTTTTGATCTTTTTTTTCTGTGCATCGCACGGGTAATATACTAGTTTAGTTAGATTTGAAGCTTACACTGTTCACTCAACCTCTCCGATAACTGCTTGATATTTCCTTATGTTACGAAAAATATTTTAATAAGCATTGCCAATTTACCATGATACTTCATTCAACGTTAAAAAATTTTAGTGATGCATTTCTTTTTTTAATTTTGGACCTACATGACTAAAAATTTCTCCATCACAATCAAGCAAGAGCATTTTCCAACCATTCGCAACTGTCGGTTGTTTATCAGCATTTACTGTAGATGACCAAAAATTATTAAAATTCAGATGGCCTTATGAGATATAAAGAACTTTTACATATAAGATTTTAATGTTGATAAAATATCTATATTCGTTCCTAAAATATTTTTTTTGTTGAAAAATTATAAAATTATAATAAAAAAGATAATTATAACTCTGAAATAAATTATAATTATAAAAATACCTTAATTTTCACCTCAAAATAATATTGTTTTGGGCTTAATATAAATAAATTATCTATCATTGATTGTAGAAAAAGAAAAAACGAACCCTACATATAATATGTTAAAAGGTGTTGGCTATATATGTTGATACGCGTTTAACTTCAATATTAGTTTTAATTTTTAAGTTTATGTCTAATAAAAAAAATTAAGAGTGTTTTTGCTTTTTGTTACTCTCTCACAAAAAATTAATATTTTATATAAAGGTTAAAAGTTTTTAAAATTATTTAAATAACTTTATTTAATATTCATCAAAATATATAAAAGTTTATGGGGTCTTTGTTTTTTTTCTCTCCCTTATCTTTACATAGATCTAATATATTTTTTTGTATGTATTTTTATGAACATTAGATAAATTTATTTAAAGTAATTTTAGAAACTTTAAATTCTTTATACAATCACAAAAATACTATCAGAAAAAGAAATCTTGGGATCCTGCTAATGAAAAGAAGAGGCTCAGAGCCAGTCTTAGATGAGAAAAAGTTTGCAAATCGAGAGAACTAAAAGGAAACACATATAATTAGTAAAGAAATGCTGAAAACAAAAGGGGATATTTTCCAAATAGTTGATTAACGAAAGCGTCTACATTTTTTGATAAAAGAAGGACTAATTGAAGGACTAGGAACTGAGTGGGAAGTGTAGCCATTATTATATCTCCAATTCGAGTATCCTTCGGCAGCTTTGGCTTTTGGCACTTCCTTAACTCCAACAAAAGAATCATTCTGGGTAAGATTCGAAGTGTTAAGTTGTGATTGTGGTACCCACGCTTGCATTGGAAACGAACACATGCTAACTTGAAAATCTTGGTCTTGAAACGCTGATTGGTAATCATAATCCTGAAACAACAACAACAAACCAACCAATTCAATTTTGTTACATATCAGATGAAAAATAAGACTTTCTCTGTCTCCCAACTTAGTATGTTCTACCAACAAGTCTAGGTTCAAGTTGTAAGGAGCATGTTTATCTCAATTAAATATTTCGAGTTCGAGTAACAAAAAAAAAAAGGAAAAATGTTTCTGCAGGCAGATAAGTTATCTGTATTTATTCCCAAAACGACGTCGTTTTGATATTGAAATCTTAAAAAATTATAAATATAAAGACTATTATAATCTAAAATAAATTAAAATTATAAAAATACCACAATTTCCGTCCCAAAACGACGTATTAGGCGACTTACTGCCGATAACTTATCTGAACTGCACAAAAAGTGAACTCAAAAGAATGGTCTTAGTAGAATATCCGTACGACAATACTCAAATCGAACTAATAGAGTAAATAATAAAAAAAAGAAAGAAAAGAAAAGTAAGGAGTGCTATGGCCAACCTTGTAGAAACCATTAAGTGCAAATGAAGCATCAAGAAGGTCTTCCATGCAGTAACCGGGAATTGTGTCAATCAAGTATTCAGAAATGCTGTTTGTTGAAACTGAATTACCCGAGTCGCAACCCATGTTGACTTCAACCATGCGAGAAGAACTAATATTTTCATTTGAAAATGAACTTGGTCTGTTTTCTTTTGAACGAGAAGTTGTTACTTCAGAGCCAGTGAATGATAATGATTTTGTGTCTGAAAGCTTTACGGCAGTGAGAAAAAACCTATTGTGCTTCTGGGTATGTTCATTGGCTCCATGGATACGAATGTCACATTCTCTACAAAGTATTGTTCTGTCTTCTTGGCAAAATAGATATGCATGCCTCTCCTGCAACAAAATTACTATTAGTTTTTGTCTCGAGTTCGGACAGTGTTAAAATTTGATAGTTAGTGCTCGAATCAAATCAGACTAATAGAGTAATTGATGAATTAGTGAATAATATAAAAAAAAATACTACTAGTTTTTTTAGTCAATCAATTTAAACTAACAAATGAAAGACCACATTTTTGAATCGTATATATGGTTTGGGAATAGGTAAGGAAAAGAGGAGGAGTGAGTGAGTACATGGCAGATATCACAAAGAGGGGTGTCTTTGGATGTGGGGGGGTGCAGAGAGAAACGTTTGTGTTTGCCTGCGAGCTTGTTGGCATGGTGGATAGTGTGATCACAACCATGGCAGAGAGCTGCTTCATCTGAAGGACAGAACACAGAGGCTTCCTCTTTGTGACACACATCACACTGTATCTTCATCTCTTGCTTTTGCTTTGTTTGTGTCTTGGTAGTTGAATTTGGTTCATGAATGTTGGAGAAGTTGGTTTTGAAGGCAAGGGGAAGAGGACAAAAGAATTATGGGCGTATAAGCATCATGGTCCAGGGAAAACAGCTAAGGTCAGGGGTATTAAAGTGTATTTTATGGATGAATATTGCCATAGCTATCTCTTTTCTCTCTCCACATGTATTTTCTTATTTTATTTTTTTTAAATATTCCGATCGGTTCATTGCTTCGCAACTAATTCGATTTGGGACGGGTCCAGGATTAAGACTTTAAATCTCTCCCAAAGATAATATTAGAGAGATTCAAACACATACTCTCACCCCACCTGCTTAGTTCCCATGCTCCAACTGAGCTACTACCATTTGGTGTATTTTCTTACTTTGAGTGAAGAGGGAGTGAGCAAGTTGGCTTTTTTATTTTTTTGGCTATTATTCTATTTGGATGCGGCATGGCTTGCATTGATCTTCCTCCTTTATTGATTCAAACGCTACAGTTTTTTTTATCTTGGGCTTGAACATTAATAATCACTATAGAGAGAGGGAAGGGAGGGGGAAGAAATGCAATAATTTTTTGAGACCCAAGCTTCCTTCTCATAGCCTCTATACTTATGTCAACAATAACTTCAATGCCTAATTTTCAAAAACTTTTAATGCAAATATCTGTAAGTTCTTTTGAGATTTAGGTATATTTTTATTTTATTTTATTTTAATTATTTTCTCCTTGATCAATTTGTTATCAGTTATAATTATTTTAATTTTTTCTTATTTTTAAAATTTTAAATTAATCTATAAAAAATGTTTAAAATTCATATTGCAAGAGTTAAATAATTATTTTTTTACAATTATAATTGAGAAATTGAATTTCTTCTGCTTAGGTCACTTATATTCTTATAAATATATATACATGAACATGGAAAGAATGAAGTTTTCGAAGATATATTTATATATATATATATGGGTTTCTCGAATGTCCTGTTGCATGACATTTTGTAAAAAAAATTACTATGTATTATGAATAATACATAGTTATAATATTAAAAAAAAATTATACCTTTTATAACTATGTACTACCTATAATACATTAATTATTTTTTTGTTTCAGGAATTCATGCAACATGATTCTTATATATATATATATATATATATATATATGGATTTAATGTTTCTACAGCGAATATAGATAAGTTATTTACATTCGCTCTCAAAACGACGTTATTTTGGTTTATAAAATTAAAAAATTATAATAAAAAAGATTATTATAATCTTAAAATAAATTATAATTACAAAAATACTTTGATTTTCGCCTCAAAACGACGTCGTTTTGGGCTCAATGTAGATAATTAATGTAAATAAGTTATCTACATTGATTCTAGAAAAACTAAACCATATATATATAGGGTTTTATAAGAGTTATGTCGTAGGAAAAATGATTATGTAATGTTATAGAGATTCGTTTTACGTGCCGTAATTTCTTTTTTTTTCTTCAAAAAGTGTGAGCCCCACAAAATGTTGTGTGTGTAGGAAAGTTTGTTGTGTCATGTTAAATAATAAATGTAAACCCCGTATATATATATATATATATATATATATATATATATATATATATATATATATATATAGAGGTAGGATCTTTTGACACCGGTGTCAAATTTTAATTTTGACACCTCATCTCAGAGCTGTTAGATCAAAAAAGATCAATGGTATCACATGTTTGCAAATCAGAGTCATTGATTTTGTTTGATCTAACAGTTCTGAGATGAGGTGTCAAAATTGAAATTTGACACCGGTGTCAAAAGATCTTACCTCATATATATATATATATATATATATATATATATATATATATATATATATATATATATATATAACGGAAACTTTATTTCTTTCTTTTCATGTTCATGCATATTTTTGGAAGAGGGACAAACTGAAGAAACATAAGCCGTCAACCGATTGACCTTAAATTTTATAAAAGAGGAAAATGATGTTTCACATGATTTTTAAGAATAGTTAGTTAAATAGGTATTTTTATTTTTAAAAAAAAATTAAAATTCAAAATACAAAATAAAAATAACTCAGATATATTCTATAAATTTGATTTTAAAAATAAAAAAGTAGTTATAATTTTTTTTTCACGAAACAGATCTTATTAAGCATTTTTTTATTTATATTTTTTTTCTGAAGATAAAAAAAAAAAACCCTTTTTCGCGACAGATTTCAAATAGGACATAATGTCTGAAAGGTGTATTGAAAATGTTCTAACGTAAAGCTCACGTTTTTCTTAATCATATTGTAACATTCTAAACCAGCAATTATGGTTAGGGGTGTTAACGGACCGAGCCGAACTGGATTTTGGTTTTAAAAAGCTAAGTTTATATTTAAATGTGTCAGTCTGACCAAACCATTTATCTGTTATGAATATAATTATCGGCATGTGGTTTGATTTATTTATAAAAAATAAAAGTCTTATTTAGCCTGTTAAAAAAAAATAAGATAACAAATTTTTTTCCAGCACTAGTAATTCCATAAATATTCTTATATTCAATGTATATCCAATCATCATAATATAAAACAAAATTATTCGAAAAGTCTATTTAACCAATAAAATAAGGTGAAATGGATTGAGGAGAAAGTAAAGGTTATTACAAGTAGTATAAAAAATATAAAATAAAAATAAATATACTAGGCTAGCCTTAGAGGCTCTGAGGTCGAACTTTTAAATTGGAGTATGAACCTTTTTATTAAACGAGTTTTTATACAAGTCCAAGCCTAATTTCAATAACCAATTTTAGTCATATAAACTCATGCTTTCACGAATCAAGCCAAAGACCCCTGATTTGTTTAACACCCCTAATTATGGTGATGCACCTTACCTAGGGCTGGCAATATGGGCCAGCCCGCCCCGGCCCGCCCCGGCCCGCCGCTAGCCCGCCCAAAATGGGCTGGCCCGTCCCGGCCCGTTTTGAAAAAATGGGTTGAATTGAGTAACCCGGCCCGTTTTATGAGTGGGCTGGCGGGCTACGGGCCAGCCCGCCTAAAATAAAAAAATAAAAAAATAAAATACAAAAAATTAAATTCTGCATAAAATCACATAAAAAAATCTGCATAAAAGCATAAAAATCTGTATAAAATCCTAATGTGCTTATGAAACCAAGAAGATCAGTGTTTAATAATCTGCATATAAATATGCATCTTTCAATCCAAAAATAATAATAAAAAAATAAAATCATATCAGGATAAAATAGAATAACAAAACAAGTAACAAAGTGTTGTATGAGCAGTCCACAACAATTCAAAAAAGCCACTTGCAAGCAGAGAAATCTAAGATACGGAGCTACATAACAATTGGGTAACCTAAAAAAAAAAAAAATGACTTGGCGGGCTGACCCATATGGGCTGGCGGGTTTGGCGGGGCGGGTTTGGCGGGCTGGTGGGTTGAAAGACTCAACCCAGCCCGCCCCATTTGGCAGGCGGGGCGGGCCAGCCCGGCGGGCTCAGCCCATTTTGCCGGCCTAACCTTACCTCAAAAAGGACCTTTATCAATGTAAAGAAAGCTGCTTTTGTCAAAATATCAGCCCCCACTCTCAAACTCTTCTCATATTTTTCCTTCATAAAATATGTAAAAGCATCAGTCAATTTCCACGAAGTTATATTTGTAACGGTCAAACTCTTTCATTATATAGTTAGTAGTTGTCATGAGTCTAGACTAATTCACTACTGTTATATATGCGGGTAGTGTTTATGAAGCTTCCTTGTTACATTTCTGAGGGAAGACATAAAAGTGAACAATATGATGATGATGCTTGTCCTGAGCAGTGATCATCGACCTTACTTTCTGTTTTAATTTCAACTTTTTCGTCGTGGATTTCATTCTTTATTAAAAACAAATTTCTAAACGTGGTTGGTGCAGACTTTGCTCTTCGCTTTGATCATATAATAATTGACCAAATGAGAACGCACTCAATCAAAATTGGAAAGTGCAAGAACCAAAATGGGAACTGATTAGTCGGCCAAACTAGACGACAAAAAACACTTTTTTCATACTGCATACACGTGATCTAGCTAGTTTGAGAATCTTTCAAACACGATATTGTAAAAGATAAATAGGTTACCAAATTATAATAGTTTAGTTGACATACGAGAGTTAGGGAGATAGAAGTGATAGTATGTATTTAATCTTCTTCAGTATTATCTTTGAAGAGTTTAAAGTCTTAATCATACATCCATCCCGAATTCCGAATTAGTTCATAAAAAACATATGAGATTATAAGAGGTTAAAAAAAAATTATGCAAATTAAGGTAATAGAAGATAATAAAACATTGTACTTTTAATCATGACGAATTTTAGTGAACTTCCTCACATGGATGAGGTTTTGATACAAGTAGTATTTATGGAGTGTGATCGCACTAATAATTTTACAAGCATATAATTAGATCCTGCATTTACTAATTATCGTTAAGCTAAAAATTATAGTTATTAATAGGGCACAACTTTATCTTTTCAGTGTAGCAGAATTCTTAAGCACCAATAACGAAAGCATTGTGTTCATAAGGGTGATAAACGTATGGAAAGAGTCCAAGTAAGCATTTTCTATGTTCAAATAGGAGCAGAACATTTAGTTAGTTTCCAACTGGATGTGAGATGGAAAAGAGAACGGGAGTCAGCACTAAAAAAAAATGAAAATGTTAAATATTTACTTAATATGTAGAACTATATATATCATTAATGACTCGTTTTTTCTACGATTAATGTAGATAATTTATTTATATTGAATCCAAAACGACATCATTTTGAGGCGAAAATTAAGTTATTTTTGTAATTCTAATTTATTTCAGGGTTATAATAATCTTTCTTATTATAATTTTTTAAACTAAAACGACGTCATTTTGCGAGTGAAAATAGATAACTTATTTACATTCATTATAAAATATTAAAGTCGTCATTAATTATATTTTAAGTTGTTTTCAGAAGTAGCTTTACTAAGTGATCTTAGATAAATTAAGTTATTCGGATGAATGAATTTTGGAATTTGTAATGTAAATTTTACAATTCTTATTTCTAATTTTATGGTGGGGCCCAAAATAGAAAAAAGAAAAGTTAAAAAGTCATTATTCTTTAACTCAAAAGTCATTACTTTTTAAGAAAGGGCACATAATAAACTCAAACGTATTACTCAAGAATTTATGAGTTCCTCCATCAGATTCTCTATTGATTCGGCCACGTTTTCACTCTATTCATTCTATTTATAATTTAGAGTAAATATCTTTTGGTTCCTAACAAAAAATATGGTCCTATTTTAATCCCTTACAAAAAATAATTAATCTCGAGGTCCCTAAGAAATTCAAAATGAATCCATTTAGTTGAAATTGTGATCCCTCACAAATTCAAAAAAGACCCACATTATACTCTCAAGAGGATTAAGATGAGTCCACTTTAAATTTCATAGGGACCAGATAACTATTTTTTTTTTGTAAGAAAATAAAGTGGGGATTGTAATTTTTGTTAGGGATCTAAAAGAATATTTACTCTATAATTTAATTCCAAAATTTTGATGTCTTCCTTGAATTTCTAACACAAAAAAGTTTTATACTACTTTTCTCGAATTAGTTTTTGTTAATCTCATTAACCCAATCTATTTGTCCAACGTTTAATATAACATCTCGAATGACGACGAAATTCAACCGGTGGCGTTAAGTCTGGGCCGGAGTTTAAGCTTCGTAAGGATATGAGAGGCAAGATATAGTGACATTAAAAATCACGCACGAATTGCTGCAAATAAGTTAGTTGACTTTAGCAGATTTGAATAATTTAGAGTCAGATTAACTTACAGTTATTGTAGTAGTGGATAATGTAAAAAAAAAAAAAAAGTTGTAGTTCTTTTATAAATATCTTAGGTTTGCAAGATAAAAGATATGGTCAACTCCAATATTAATATATATAGATGGAATAGAATCAGTTTACAATAATGTAAGATATATTTTCAATTTTTGTCCATTGATATCATTCATATGTAAGGATTTCAATTTATTAATGGTGTGAGTCATTGAATATGTGGATAAATAACTAAAAATTAATGTAAAACTTTGTATTTTACATGGATATAATAAGTTGATCTTATAGCTAGACACAAATGTTCCAACCATTACGCAGGAGAGGAGGCCATAGGGACTCAAGAATCATGTGTAGAATGTACATATATAGATGTGAGTTAAGTCTGCAAATTATAAAAGTTGAATAGGTTTTCATAGTCAGAAGCTTTGCTCCGCGAGTTGCATATTTCATGGGTACATGAGATGAGAGTATATGGAATATTTAGGGCTAGTTTGATGGACAAAATAGGATAAGAGTAGGATATGATATGGGGCTGATTAGGGTAGGAGATGATATGAGGCTGATAAGCCTATATCATGTCATGTACTTGATGAGCACCTGATTAGCAATCTTATAAGATTATGTAGAAGGAGAAAAGTGAAAGAAATTAAAAAACAAAATATAATGCAATAAATACAAATACATTGGGTAGCGTGTGGATATATTGGGTAGCGTGAGGATATATTGAGTATCCAATATTGATATCCTATTCTGTTGAATTCTAACCCAGCTCCCCCCATAGGATAAGAAATCATGTATTGAATATGATAAAATGAGATAATAAGATAAGCTAATCATATCCTATTGACCTACCAAACAAGAGATAAGAGTAGAATATGATAAATTATCATATCCTATCTTCTTTATCAGGTGCTCCAAACAGGACGAAGACATGATGGCTCGGCCTCGTAAATGTCATGACCCCACCGCCATCAATGTTTTCTTGTAGCTTCTTTTCGCCAGCCAAGCTACTGAATGTGCTCGATCAACTTGCCTTTTGTCTTTCTATATGTAGAATATTTATGTTTGGAAGAAGAAGAAAAAAAATGCGAAGGTAATTATTATTATTGTCTTAATTTAGGATGCATTTTACATTTCCAACTAGGCATGATATCGATTACTAGTGTTGGCTACAAATGTGAAAGTGAAGGCCACGCAGTGTTAATTATCGCTTTGGGCCTACGTCTAACCAGTTATGTCTGTCGGTTGTAGAAATAATTAGATAGCACAATTAAAAAGTCGAAACTTGTAAAGATATTGAAGAAGCTTACTCACATAAAAAATATAACTAAAGTTGGTGTAAAAAAGAAAATAATGAGCTTATTAATGTTGTTACTGTCTATGTAGGACCTATGGGTGTTCGCGGTATGGATTGGATCGGTTTTAAAAGGAAAAATTATCTGATCCAATCCTTCGGTTTGATCATATAATCATCCATTTGGTTTGGAATTTTTTTCAAATCCGATCCAATCCAATTTTTTTCGGTTTGGATTGGATCGGTTTTCGATTTTTTGGAAATCCTAAAATTTATTTCATGATTATTATACAAATAACATATTTTGTATATATTGGCTTTGTAATTTTTTTTTTGAAATACAAAAGCATTAGTAAACTATAAGATAGTTTATTTTTGGGGGGCAATGAAATACGAAGCTCTACAAAGATAAAATTTTGTTAATAAGATGTGACTAGATTTTTTCTTGGGCTTAGTTGATGGCTTAATAGGTTTTGGGTTTAGAAATTTTTGGCTATGATTGGGGAAAGACCCAAGTAGGTAGAGGGGAATTAATATATTGGATCAATTTGGATTGGAACGGTTTTCATCAACCCATCCAAAAACCGATCCAATCCAATTAAAATTTGCGATTTTTTTTCGGTTTTTAATTTTTCGATTTTCGGTTTATTCGGTTATCGGTTTTTTGGTTCGGTCACCGCGGTTTGGATCGGTTGATGAACACCCCTAGTAGCACTGATATCGACACGAGACACGATACAATACGACACTCTGACATGTTAATTCTAAAAAATGTTAGATTTCGACACGTTTTGATATTAAATAATATTTTTAATTTATGTAGTGAATATTATATTTAATATTCAATAATTTAACAAAAAAATAAATTTAATCTTATAATATTCATAAATTTTGCAAAAACACACAAGATATCCCAAATATTTATATTAAATTCAATACAATGGTAATCGGAATACAACGAATCTAATAGTTGAAACTAAAAACTCAACTTTTGAACTTTTTTTTGAATTTCTATAACATATGTTGGAGTGTCGATCCGAGAGTGTCGAAAAGTGTCAGACAAGACACGTCAGAATTTTTGAAGTGTCAGTACTTCGTAGGTTACTGTTATTAATATTGTTGCGTTGGGTTCCTAATTTTCCTTTCTTGGGCCTAGGCCCAAACATCTATTGCTATCAAAGCTGCTGCTTTTTGGGCCCTCAACTTATTTCTGTACGGTCAATAAAATATCTGTTCTAATATAATAAATTTTAGTTTTTATTTTAAAAATAAAATGATGTTCGCACATATTTTTTTTTTTCAGTAGTTACTTTTCTTTTTAATTTTAACAAATATTTTAAAAGTTGCTAATTTTTATTTTTAATTATTTTATTAAAAAATGTATTTATTTATTTAATTTTTTTTATCAATACTCTAATTTCTTCCATCAATATTATTTATGGTATTTTAAATCCACCCATTAACATAATATTTTAATAATTAAATCAAATTTTTAATATTTTTTCAAACCTGTATCAGTAGGGGTGAAATTGGGCCGGGCCGGCCTACAGGGACCTACGGCTCGGCCTACGCCATGCCAGACTTGACCTAGTATATTTCGTAAAATAGGTCAAGCTTGAGCCTTGAGAAAACTTGTTTAATAAAAACAAGGTCTGGCCTATAAGCCCACAGGCCGGCCTATATTGTACTATTTATTTTAAATAAAACAAAATAGAATAAGTATGCCTTGAAGAAAAAATAAAAGATATAAATTTAATCAATTGCAATTATTTATAACTTAATTATATTCGATTATATTTTAATAAAAATATGACTTTATTTCTTATGTAAGAGGAACCAAGATCTCAACATGTTAGATTGTGTATATGAATATATTAAAAAGTTTTCAGGAGAGGTTATACTTACTTCAAGCATCATGATGTGTTTGTTGGATTCATGTAGTTATTTTAATTTACATAGTATGAATTTGTTTGTTAGATCTGATGAAATATATGTTATTTAGTTTGAACATTTTGCTTTTGAAAGTGAATTAAATGCAGATTGTATGAGTTTTATTGTGATCATGATTATGTTTGGACGTTGAAATTATGATTTTTGGTTTAGCAACAGAATTTGAGTATTTTGTAAAGTTGATTCACGGTTCTGATTGGAAATTAAAAATTAACATGCTAACGGGTTACGCTATGCCATTTGTTTTTTTATAAACAGATGAAGTCAGACTAACAGTTAGACTCGTATGAAGTCAAATTAAAAGTTTTTGGCATATACTTGAGTTTTTTGGGGCAAAGCTTCGCTCAGTCCAGCCCACTTTCACCTTTACCTGTGCGTTATATTTTAATTATTTTCTAACTGCTGAAATAGTTTTCTCATTTTTTTATCATCCGTAAAATAATGTTCTACTAATTAAATTATTTTTTTAAATATTTTTACCTTAAATTATCTGTACGCATATCTAAAATATTATGCATGTTAACACACACAGAAAAAAGGAAGAGACACTTGGACAGGATAGTGATCAGTGAGGCATATGGCTGAGAATTGGATGCGTAAAACTAAAATATTTTTTTATCTATCACTCTGAGAATGAGAATGAGAATGAACGCGTTCTGTGTCTCCGCTTCTGCTCCTACTTATTCTCCATTTCCTAATCAACTTCCACATCCACTGGTTCTTTCTTCTCTTCTTTTGTTATGTATTTATAGTTTAGCCATTATCACGCTCGCTCACTCACTAATCATGTCTTCTCTATTCTGTAATCCAGGGTGCACTGCTGCCAAATTCGAAGTTTCAGATTCTGTGGAAGCACACGCTCACACCGTTTCCTTTGAATTCGAGGAGGTAGTATCCCATTCGTGCTCGCTGTCACTGATTATTATTATTCAAATAACTATCGTGTCATGTTTATGTGAAGGTTTATTTTCGCTTCTATTTTTCTATTCTAATTTTTAATGAACCTATCAAAAATAGTGAATTGGCGTGTTTGGATCTAAAAACAGGAGAACTTTCATATGTGCAGTCAATCAAGAAGCCGAGGAAGCTTTTAAGAAGACTGTTGAAATTGATAGGCTCATAGATATGCTCAGGGAAGCTAATCCTCACCAAGTAATAATTTCTATCATTTTCCAATTTTTTATTTATTTTTATTTTTTAAAAATTTTTGGGGTTCTATTTTACCCTTCCTTTTCATGTTGTCTCTCCTTTTGGCAATTTACTTTGAACTACATTTTGAAGCAGATACGGTTCATGATGTAGGACTCACATTTTTTTGAATTAATTGATTTATTTTGGATTAAGTCTTTCAATAACATTGGTATTGTTTTCCTTTGTAAACCAGCTTCAGAAACTTGTTGTTGAAAACATCCTCGCTTTCAATCCAAGCTTTTGGATACGACTTGCAGCAAGATCTGATACTTGCAAGTCTGAGGATGATAAAGTACACTTTTAAATTTCCGACAATGTTTCTTTGGTCTGTCTATGTATATATAGTTCTTTCATTGCACTATTTGCTTTTGTACTTTGTTAATGTGCAGAAGGATTATGAAGAATTGGCTACAATGGTTATGAGTGTGGTTGATCGCGTGGTTCATAAGACTAATGTACCCCTCCCTCCCTCTTCACGCCACTGACCATTGTTCATGGGTTACTTGATTTTCTTTATTGTTTCTTTTGACAAAAAATCTTCTTCTTATGTACTTGCTTTGCAGGAAAAGATAGAGTCTGCTACAGATGTCCTGAAGGGAGTACTGAAACCTGTGATTGATGATGTAGGAGAGATTCCCTGGCCTCCCAGAGATCCTCAGGTACTCACATTGATGGAAAAGGTGAGTTTTGTTTCTCAAAGATTTTAGCAAGAGTGGCCTGTTTCATTGGAATGGCTTTCTTATACATTTAACCACGTTGTTTTTCTGAACTTCCATATATAGTGAAGAGGGCAATAATATACTAATTGTGCCAACCTGTTAACATTAAGCTAAATTTACATACTATTTGATTTTCAGTCACAAGGATTACCTTTGTGCTAAAACTCAACATTAGATATATGCTTCAGTCTTCAATCACCACGAACTGTAATGTACATATCATCTCCAGAGGGTCTATGATTCACCTTCAGGTTTTGTGAAAAATGAATTATTTAAGATTTAAGAGACCATATAAGTGAATAACTATCGACAATAATAAACAATAAGGTTAATGCAAGCTTGATTGAAGCGAGCATCTACAGTCATTTGTGAAGGAAAAAATAAACTTGTCTGCAGAATCACAGATGTTTATATTTTTTTGGAGTGGTTTTCTTCTCTTCTAAATGAAGAGATTCCATTTTGGTAAGATATTCTTATTGCCATTGGGTTGTTTTGGTTATTCATGTATATTTTCAGCAAGCCTTATCTATCTATTTAAATTTTAAGTCATAATCATTAGGAAATAAGTCAAAGGGAGCAAGAAGGGCAGCTGGATGAAGGGTTCCTTGCCGAAGTTAATGCACAACTACGACAAGTGAGTCTGTTTTTTCGCTTTGGCTGCTTTTTATTTAACCTACAATAGTTTTCAATTGTCAGTAGAAACTATACTGGATTAGTTACTATTCTCGATTCTTAATTACTTAGGATTCCCTTTTCAGTTCCATTACAATAACATAAAGTTGACCAACTTTGAATTTCTATGTTCATTTCTTATGATTAATGGTCTAATATGACTTGACATAATTAATTGAATCATTTTATTAATAAATAAATCCCTATTTCAGTCCTCTAAATAAAGTTGTCATTATTTTGGTCCTCCTAAGAATTTTGCATCAATTTAGTTCCCCAATCATAAAAGACATCAAGTGATTCTGTTTTTCTCCTTTATTTGAAGTACGACAATTTTCAATTGTCAATTGTTAGTAGACAATATATAATTTGGTAACAGAAAACATTGCCCGCTATTTATATTATCCTTGAAATTCATGTTGGTTACCTATATGGCTATATGTCAAAAGGATACCAAGTGTGTGAGGTATAAGAAACTTGGATAATTTATAAGGCTTATTAATTTTGGACATTCAACTACTTCTATTTCAGAACAATTTTTGTCTTGTATGTATTCATTTTTGGTATAGCTGAAATTTCTAATTAAATCCCAGTTCTAGTGGGATATATTTTGGGATATTGCATAAAGGCTGCTATTTTGGTTTGGTTTGTATTTTATATATGATACACTTTTCTCTTTTTCTATTGTAATTACGTTGCATATGACTTATTTAAGACTCAACAGTATCTTGCCTATAATGAGCAGGCAAAGGAAGATGGTGATAAGCCTGGGCTTGAGGCCATGTTGCAAAAGGTTTTGCAGCTCTATGCTTCCAACATTCTCTCAAAACGTAGTTATGCCATGAAAGGTATGTTTGTAGTTAACGTACCTTATACATGAAATTTATGTTTAAATAGACGAGTACCTTATACAGTAGTCGTTGAGAGGGTTCGGTTAGCTGTTTAATTTTATTTAGTTCTTTTTTTCTTTCTTTCGAGTTATGTGTATATTTACTTCATTGAACAGAAGAAAAATAGGGAAATCGGAAATGTGGAAATAAATTTGACAAAATTAAGTTGAATTCAGGGATTTTCATTATACTTGCTATGGTCAAACTATAAAAAAAATTTTCTTTCTAATATCTTTGGTTAAGGTTGACGGCGAGCATTGAAGCAATGGTAAGGTTGCTCCTTTGTGGCCGGATGGTCTTGGGTTCAAGTTTAGGAAACAACCTCTTTGTAAAAATGCAAAGTTAAGGCTACATACAATTGACCTAATCTCTACCGACGTAAAGTTGAGGAACCTTGTGTACCGGATTTTGCTCTTTGCCCTTTGTATCTTTGGTTAAGGTTTACATGTAATTTTATCTCATTTTCTTTCTTTCACTCTTTGTATATGATATTTTTATAGGCAACAAATCTTGTTCCTTTTAGATGTAAATGGCCTTTCTAAAAACTTAGTTTTTGAAAAAACAAATGGTGTCATTTGATTCATGTAGGCAACCCTACCTACTGGGATTTTATTTTATTTTTTGTAGGCACTGAGCTTCTATTTCATACGCTGGTTGGAAATTATAATAACTACACGAGTAGTCTAAATGTCATGATATTTTCATGAAGAAATCAAAGTTCTATTATCAGTGCTCTTAAAATAGTTTATTTTATATAAAATCACAACAACAGACATAAAATTGAACCGTCATGATTGATAACAAATAGTGCCTTTAGTTAGTTGGTTTTAATCACACTATTTTTTTTTTTTGTAATATTAATCACACTATTTAACATTGATTACAGAGCTATGCTTATCAGAAAAATATATGAAATAAAGTTGCTTATGTAAAACATCAATTTATAGTGCTGGTGTATAGAAAACAAAAGAGGGCGAACCTTGGAGCAGCGGTAAAGTTGTTTCTTGTGATCGGAAGGTCATGGGCCTGAGTTTGAGAAATAGTCTCTTTGCAAAAATATTAAGTTATGGCTGCATATAATTGTCCCTCGCAAGTTGGAGAGCCTCGTGCGCCAGAGGTTTGCCCTTTGGTGTATAGAAAACAAAGTCTTAAACATTAAGCTTTTCATCTTATCATTGTCTTCTTGGCTTCTTGCTAGTCAACATATCCTTGTCGGATGGCACAAATATTGAATTTTTGTTTTTAATTTGGAAGATTACTCCATTCTTATTGCAGGAAAGGAAGTTTTGAAGGATGAGCAATTACTTGAAACCGTAATCCAAGGTGCCTTTATCATCCTAATCTTTTATGTCATAGAAAAGCATCTAGTTGTAAATTTGATATAAGAATTATATCACTGGTTCTTGAGAAAGAATTACTTCCGAATTTTCAAATTTGGGTTTAACTTCTCTTGTTTTATTTTCATCCTCTTTATTAATGTAATAGTGGTGCTCTTGTGAAGGGTACCAAGTAGGGGTGAGCAAGGGTGGACATAGGGGAGGGGCAATGAAGAAGAATGAAAAGGAATTTCTGATATTTCATTGAATGTATTTGTAGTAGTCAACTCCTCCCATTAATCTTAATAACACTTGTAACTTTGATGTTTTATTTTTGCCACTCATCATAAAAAATCCTAGGTCCACCATTGGTGGTGAGCAAGGTTCGGTTCGGTTTTCTTGCTGAACCGGTTTAAACCCAACGCAAGGTTTCATTTTTCTAGATATATCTTTTTATGGATTGTTCATTTCAATTGGTTTGATAAATTTGAAAGTTAAAACAAGTTGAATCGGTGTGTAAATAATGAAAAATGTCAGTCATAGTTGTACATATAATTTCTGATTAGATGAACAATAACCTCCTGAAAACTAATAGGACTTCTGATTAGGAGTCACTAGAGACTAGTCTATATGAAAGGGATTTTAGCAAACCAAATCGGTAAAACTACTATTTCCAATATTACAGCTTTTGGTTATGGTCCCTGGGCCCTGGACAAATGTAACACTCTGCTACATACCCTGAAGTTTCAATGCAGGGGCGGTTTATCTTTTTTGTGTTTATCTAATCTAGATTAATAGTGTGCCACCTTTTATCTGCAACTGTCGTCGCATAACTTGCATCAGTGATAAACCCTTTTTGGTCCCTTGCAGCTCCTGAAGAAGAATGGAACAATATTTTGATCAATGGATTGACAATTGGTGCTGGGGATATTTCACCAGAGGAGCTCTATGCTGTCTTGAAGAAACGAATTGAGCGCACTTTGATTAGAACTGTGAGACAAAACCATGCTTTTATTCATTTGGTTATTGTTTTTAATTCTTCTTAACTGATGTTGTTCCTTTGATTTGTCCATGCTCTTTCTCCTCACTAACCGCGGCTGAAAAACAAAGGAGGGAGGTTCTTACCAACAGCGGATTCTGACAGAGTACCTGAAAGGCATCGAAACTAGAGCAGAGGAGATTGTTCAAGTGCTTCAGGGGAAACCCCAATAGCATTTCTTCATACCAGAAGATGGGCTTGGCAGTTGCAATGTCATAAGCCATAGCAATATTCTGCATGATGCTAGAAGTGATTTATTATTTGTAGAGCAGATCAAGCTACTACACAGTGAGATGGAGATATGTAGATGATCATATCTTCGAGCAGGTAGCAATTACCGCACGGATTCGGCGATTGGCCTTCAGAACTGCATCTGGCTACCTTCAGCTAGTTTTGTGCAGCCGGTTTTAGTTTAAGTAATATCTTCTGTAGCCAAAAATTGAATGTGTGTGTGTGTGTATATATATATATATATTGTTTATTGTATATATTGTAATTCCTAGAAAATGGCAATAAACTATTCCTTTTTTTTGTTATTAACATATGAATATGGACCTGCAAATGAATTGCAATTCCTTTGAGTTGGTGACAACAAAGAGTAGCTGATCTATTATTCCACTCGGAAAGGGATCATTTGCAGTTTTGTTTGAACAGTATGAAATTTGAACCAAAACATAACAGAATATTAATGAAAAATATATCTGAAGAACTTTCACGTGAAGTTTTTTTTTTTATAAATAAAATTGCGGAGGATCCAATTCCAGTTCACATATACATTATACAACTCATAGGAAAGTGTTGTAGCTTAAGTATATGGCTGTTAGATCTATAATACCGTGTAAATTTAATATCCGATCACAAGAAATCCTTTTCTTTATTCTTTATTCTTTTTTTCTTTTTTCTTTTTTGGAGATAGCAAGTACTCCAACAGCTAGTAATAAATTTATTTTATGAGAAAGTTTAGCGTTAGCGTAACATCACAATTTCTTCTAATCAATGGAACACCTCTCTAGTTCTGGTTTTTCCCTGCCTGGAATGATTCCACCATATTAACACCTTTCTTGTTTGTACCATGCTTAAAATCTAAGCTAAAATTTAACCACCGTGTTGATGTCCAAGTCCCAATAGGTCATGATGTGACTGAGAACTATCAGTCAAAAAACAATTTAACACGTTAATTACAGCTAAGAATTAAATTACTATTCTGAGTAATTATATATAATATATTTATAAAAAATAATTATTAGGCTCTAATGTAACTGAAAATTTATCTAAATCTACCCATGGGGGTGGTACTAATGTAATTCACAATGCACGGCAGCTAGCAAATAAAAGCATAGCAAACTTTTCATCACTACGCTTCTATTATAGAAATCCCATTCGGTTCTCTCTCTCTCTCTCCCACTCTCTTTCTCCCTCCCCTTATTCTCTGTCTTCCAAAATTAACGTACACTGTAACCATAACCAGATCTCATCTGAAAAGAGAAGTGAATATTCTCGTTCTCTCTATACATACATACATATCAGCACACCGTGAAGTTGATTGTGGATGCGTTAACGAGGTCTTGTTGATTTCATTATTTTAATCAGATCTGAGGTAAATCCTCTCTATTTCCGGTACCACGTAGTGTTCAAAATCGATCGAGCAATGATCCCATGCGATGCGATTCGATTTTCGTTCTAATTAGTCAGAATCTGTTGGAAAATGTCGAACAATGTTGGTTCTTTGATATGCCGAAATTTCTTGTCTCATGATTTCATTTTACTTTCCTTGGTTCAATTCTGATGCATAATAAACGTTTTTTTTTCTGTGTGTGTGTGTGTGTTTTGGCATGGGGATTATAATTTGAGTTTAGTTTCTGATAATTTGATTGGATCGTGCAGAGACAGTGCCTGTGATTGAGTGAAGATGCTGACCAAGTTCGAGACCAAAAGTAATAGAGTAAAGGGACTCAGTTTCCACAGTAAGAGACCCTGGATCCTTGCGAGTCTTCACAGTGGTGTGATCCAGCTATGGGACTACCGGATGGGAACCCTGATTGACAGATTCGACGAGCATGATGGCCCCGTCAGAGGCGTTCATTTCCACAATTCTCAGCCTCTGTTTGTCTCTGGAGGTACCTTATTCACAACCCTCCTTGCTTTTCTGTATCTATCATTTACAATTATCTCTTCAAAATTTCTATTCCATATATCGTTTAATCCTCTGATCTGTTAATTGTGCATCCTTTCTTGTTGTTTATCTTTGATTGATCTCCTTATGTTTAAATGAGGGCACTTATTTATGTACACCACTTCAACGTTTGCACCCATGGCAAAATATGAGTTACATTGTACTCATCTAAACACTACTAGGATCCACTTAAACTTTTTGGGTATACTTAAATTTCTGTGTGTAAAAAGCATTTCTCTATATAGATGTACCGTACGAAACAAATGAAACGGGAATGTTGTAGGTTTAGAAGAATTATGTGTGTGATGCCTCATATTCTCGTGTTCAATGTTGTACCGTACTAAACAATGGAATAATTTGCTGCATTAATATAAAATATTTAATGCTTCTCTTAGATCTGCTAATTTTATTCTCTTCACCTTTGTTCTTTGTTTGTCCCAGTGTGGTGAAAGAAGATTGTGCCATGAGCTGTAAGAATGGTGGATACTCTTTATATAATTATATGATTTCAAGGTTTATTTGTGCTGTATTTTATTGAAAAGGAAAAAATATTTATTTAGTGTAATTGAAATGCTCTGGATCTGGACAGCAGTAACTTAATATCAATCTTTTTTTTTAAAAAAAAAAAAAACAAAGTGGTGCTGCATCGCCTCTAGTTCTAATGATTGTGTTTTAATGTGATTTTACAACAATTGCATTTGTCAGTGGAGGAGATTTTGATGTGTTACGTTCGTTAATAAAATAAATTTTTGTCACATGTGGAAGGGGTGGGGTTTACTTTGTACAATTTACAGCTTATTGATTAATATTTTTTTTTTCTCGGGACAGGGGATGATTACAAGATTAAGGTTTGGAACTATAAGATGCATAGGTGTTTGTTTACTCTTCTAGGACACCTTGATTATATTCGTACAGTGCAATTTCATCATGAGAACCCATGGATTGTGAGTGCCAGTGATGATCAGACCATTCGCATCTGGAACTGGCAGTCACGTACCTGTATATCTGTTTTAACTGGGCACAACCATTATGTTATGTGTGCTTCCTTCCATCCAAAGGAGGACATTGTTGTGTCTGCCTCCCTGGACCAAACTGTTCGTGTTTGGGATATTGGTTCTCTCAAAAGGAAGGCTGGGCCTCCTTCAGATGACATTCTGCGATTGAGTCAGATGAACACAGACCTTTTTGGTGGTGTTGATGCAGTTGTTAAGTACGTGTTGGAAGGTCATGACCGGGGCGTCAACTGGGCTGCCTTTCATCCTACCCTGCCTCTCATTGTCTCAGGAGCTGATGACCGACAAGTAAAACTTTGGAGGATGAATGGTAAATATGAAACCCAGATATTTACTGTATGTTGTCCTGAATAATAACTACCCGGGAATATCCATGGCTTTGCATTTCATTTTCTAAATGTTTATCTGACTGGGCTTTTATATGTAGTCTTGATGCTGTTATGATTATCACGGATATTAACAAAACAGTGTTTGGCTGAGTTTACATGCATTGTTGGCAGCAAAACCTTTCAACGAGACAGTTAATTTTTTTTCAGTATTTAGTTGACCTAAAAGAAGAAGTTTAGTATTTGAAGTGACATTCCCTATGTCCCTAATAAATTTTATTTTCTGTTTTCAGACACTAAGGCATGGGAAGTGGATACTTTGAGAGGGCACACGAACAATGTTTCATGTGTTATGTTCCATGCCAAACAGGACATCATTGTGTCAAATTCTGAGGATAAAAGTATTCGAGTATGGGATGCAACAAAGCGGACTGGAATTCAAACCTTCCGCAGAGAGCATGATCGGTTTTGGATTCTTGCTACCCATCCTGAAATGAATCTGTTAGCAGCTGGTCATGACAGTGGCATGATAGTCTTTAAGCTGGAGAGAGAAAGGCCGGCTTTTGCAGTTAGTGGTGATTCCTTGTTCTACGCAAAAGACCGGTTTTTGCGTTTCTATGAATTTTCAACCCAGAGAGAGACTCAAGTACTTACAATTCGACGACCTGGTTCATTAAGTCTAAATCAAAGTCCAAAGACTCTTTCTTACAGCCCTACTGAAAATGCAATTCTTCTCTGTTCAGATGTGGATGGTGGATCTTATGAGTTGTATTGCATATCCAAGGATAGCACAATTAAGGACAGTTTTGGTAGGGGTGATATGCAAGATCCAAAGAAAGGTCTTGGAGGATCAGCAGTCTTTGTGGCTCGGAATAGATTTGCCGTGCTTGACAAAACCAGCAACCAAGTCTTAGTAAAAAATCTGAAGAATGAGCTTGTTAAAAAGAGTGTGCTCCCGATTGCCACTGATGCTATATTCTATGCAGGAACAGGCAACTTGTTATGTAGGTCAGAGGACAGGGTTTTTATATTTGATCTTCAACAGAGGATTGTTCTTGGTGATCTTCAGACTCCTTTTATCAAGTATGTTGCCTGGTCTAATGACATGGAAAGTGTTGCTTTGCTAAGCAAACATGCGATTGTCATTGCTAGCAAGAAGCTTGTGCACCAATGCACCCTCCATGAGACAATTCGTGTAAAAAGTGGAGCCTGGGATGACAATGGCATTTTTATTTACACGACGTTAAATCATATCAAATACTGCCTCCCCAATGGAGATAGCGGGATAATAAAAACACTGGACGTCCCAATTTATATTACAAAGGTTGTTGGAAACACCATCTTCTGCTTGGGTCGGGATGGGAAAAACAGAGCTATAACTATTGATGCAACAGAATATATCTTTAAGCTTTCCCTGTTGAAGAAAAGATATGACCATGTTATGAAAATGATACGGAACTCACAGCTTTGTGGGCAGGCTATGATTGCTTATCTACAACAGAAAGGATTTCCTGAGGTTGCCCTCCATTTTGTGAAAGATGAGAGAATTCGGTTCAATTTAGCTTTAGAGAGTGGGAACATTCAAATAGCAGTTGCGTCAGCTACTGCAATTGATGAGAAAGATCACTGGTACCGTTTAGGGGTTGAGGCTCTTCGCCAAGGCAATGCTGGTATAGTAGAGTATGCATACCAGAGGACAAAAAATTTTGAGAGATTGTCTTTTCTTTATCTCATTACTGGTAATGTGGAGAAACTTTCAAAGATGCTGAAAATTGCTGAAGTGAAGAATGATGTGATGGGGCAGTTTCACAATGCCTTATATATGGGCGATATCCGAGAGCGTGTTAAGATCTTGGAGAACGTGGGCCATTTGCCTCTTGCGTACATAACTGCTTCAGTCCATGGACTGCATGATGTTGCTGAAAGGCTTGCAGCTGAACTGGGGGATAATGTTCCATCTTTGCCTGAGGGAAAGGTACCATCTCTCTTGATGCCGCCATCACCTGTATTGTGTAGTGGTGATTGGCCCCTTCTTAGG